CCCCCCCCCGATCCCCTATCCATTAGGCCCTCCATTCTGGCTTACCTTAGTGGTCATTTTAAACTCAATGGAACCTCCCCAAATGTTTGTACGTAGCCTAGGGGCTTTTATCTTAGGAAATGTTATTTTACTCTCCACTTGAAAATCTTTCTAGTGACTGACACATTTAGCTTTGGACAACTGCTTTAGAAGCATAGCAGAGCAGGACTAGAAGGAAGGTCATCTAGTCTACCCCTCTTGTCCAGCCTACAGACAGACAGGATGGATACCCTTCCCCAAAGAGCTTACATTCTAAAAACAGATGAAACCAAAAGAAAGAAAAGGGCAAGGGATATATCACACAAGCAGAAGAGCAGGGACATGTTGGGTCCGTGCTTTTTGCAGATTGTTTTAATTTTTAGTTAGTTATTTTTCATGCTCTTCTCTGCCTCTCAAATCCTGGTGCGCTGTTCCCGGAGACTTTCCAGACCCCGCCTTCCATCTAATTCCATTCCACGTTGTCTCTCCAGCTCTCAAACCTCCCCACCCCCACTGTGACTAACCCTTTTGTTGAGTTAATCTGTTTCTGATCTGATTATGCATTTTTCTGTCCTTCCCGGCCTCCTTCAATCATGGTCTTCTTCACCAGAGGCATAGCACGGCAGCTCTGTGCCTGGGGAAGCTGCAATATACTGGGCAGCCCTGGCTGCTGCGATGCTGGTAGCAGCTTCTGAGTCAGCCACTGCTGTGGGGATACCTCTTTTTATTCCCCCAAAGGCAGCGACTAGGGCTCTGCTAGGGCTCTGCTACTGTTCTCCTCATGCTGCTTGTAGCAGCACCTGTCTACAGTGCCTTTCCTACAGAAAACCTTAAAGGGGGCTGCACCTCTGGTGAATACAATGACCATTACAGTGTTTACCTGAATCCAAGATAACCCCCCAGTAATTAGATTATTATAATTTTATCATTATAGATTTATAATTAGTGATAATATTTCATGTATAGACTCTCATTATTGGGGAAGGGTCATCTTAAATTTGTTCCCACCACTGCAGCTTGGAAAACAATGGTAGGGGGGCAGGCGGTGGGGGGGCAGGCAATAGGGCAGGCATGGTGGCGGGCAGGCAGCTTGACAGTACAGGAAGAGGGCAACCCAGGGTTGGGGCCAGAGCCACAGGAACTGCCTCCCCCCATCCGCACCAACATATTTTTGATTCCAGGTTGAGGGGCTTTTCCCCCCATGTTAAATGAGGAAAAAGCCTCATTAAGTAAATGCAGTATGTGCTTTGATCCTTTTGATGAGGTCCTGCATGCGGTGTGTCTGCTCTTGTAGACTGTACATTTCATTAGAGGATTGCTGAGTCTTTTACAACCAGTATGAAATAAGCTTCAGGAATGTCTCTGTGAAGTAAGCAGGTATGTTGTTACTGGGGGCCCTGGTTTTCTCTGTTTAAAAATTGCAAATTCTCTGATAAAAATGGAAATTTTCTGATTAGTAATCCCCAAATCCACGTTTTTCCATGATTAGAATGAAATGCCACTATATATATAGGTATCAGTTGAACACAATGTTTTATTGATATATATACAATTTTAAAGCAATTTGGAAGCCTACCAGTGCTTCAACCATTACAGGTTTCCCTCGCTTTATACAGGTTCTGTATGTGCAAATTCGGTCTTATGCAATGACCCTTTTTATACCAAAAATTCGTTATCTGCAAGGTAAATTCACTCTTATGCGATCGGTATGGTGGAAGCCCGCAGCCAGCTGCTTTGTGCGGTGCATTGTGGGAGTGACGCACACCAAAATACTGGCTCCGGTGTGTATCTGTGCTCCTTGCTCATTGCCTGCGACACGTGTTTCTGGACTTGCCATCCCCATTATCATAACATTCACCACCACCCTGTGCTTGTGTGCGCTGTCTGCTGTTGGTGAGTACCAAAATTGTCTTGTAAAAGCGGTAGAAATGGGTCAAGGGGTCAGTACAGTTGAGGACTTGGAACATATCCCTATTTGTTGCATTGTAAAGTGTGTTCCCTTTATGTGAATTCAAGTTATGCGCTGTTTCCCAGGAATGCATGTACAGCATAAAGCAAGGGAAACCTGTATAAT